GCTAATCATATATATCAAAAATTGTAAATGTGTCACCGGCATCTTTCTGTAATCAATTTTCATTCACACCCAACCCCATTTTGTATCTTGCTATTTTACTGTCTTATTTTCTTATAATCCCGCGTCGACTACTTTCTTTTTAGCCTAGGATCTATCAGAAACAACTTACTTCTCTGGATTATACTGGGTATGTCACTGTTGTAGTTAACTGAATTCTAACACAGCTGAAAGTGTCAAACAGAAATCAATGAAGAAGAATAACTAGTAATGCACGCAATGTTGTGTTTCCAAGTCAAGAACAAAATAAACAGGATGATTTGTGATCAGAGGCCTAGGTAAAATATAGAAATTTCAGGAAAACAACAAAAAATCAACTTGAATCAATTCAGCAATGATGCATTTAAGTCACCTGTCATGGACAAAAATTGCTATATCGCAATCTGCTAAAGCATCCTTGCTAGATAGAAGCTTCTTCACTTCATCTTCTGGTATCTCTCGTAGCACAAGAGATTTTTTAGCCCCCTGCCAATGTACAGAATAGCTGTTCTTATGCTAATGACAATTTTAAGAATCTGATTAAATTGCAGAGAACAGAAAATCCAACTACTACCAGACACGGTTATACGTAACCTGAAGAGAGACCATTACATCCAAACAACATTAGGATCATAAAAGAAATTATTTGAGGTATTGCTTGTATACATGGAAATTTTCACCTTATTAATTAAATTTTATGTACCTTTTCAGTAAAATAAACATAGGATCTCAATGTTACCAGTTTCAAAAAAAAAAAAACATAGGATCATAAAGTACATAAAAAGCATTTTCAGTAGCCAGGGTGCTCTTTACTATAAGTTCTTCAATATGGAGGTTAGGTTTATGAAGAGATCGCAAACTGTAAGACAGAATTTGGTGTTTAAATTTTCAAAAAAAACTTGCATAATATACAACATTTTAGGGTACTTATATGTGGGACATCACAAACAAATGCAACTTGAGGTGTTGTTAAAAACACTCCTTGTTTCTGAAGATCTGCACTCTACCTACATTTTGAAAAACCATAGAACAAACCTCCACTACAATAGCATACGCACTTTATAGAGTGTTAAAACTGATGATTGCATGCTCAAGAATATATCCAAAAACTACCTTGTAAATTAAGAACCTAAGGAACGTGTTATTGGTAACAATAAGAACTGTAAACATATGTAGAAGTTCATCTATATTTACAATATTTATCTTAATTGTGTTCAAACTTTCCTCCTTACTAGGGGAGGATTGTTGTAATCATGAATCGGAAAGGAGTATAATTACATCAAATTGGAGGGAGGTCAATGTACTTTTACCTGCAAGATATATTGAATTTTTTTCGTTATCCTACACGTGTGTTTGATTAATTCCTCCAATTTAATGAAATCATATCGTTTATTTGAGAAATTGTGGCCAATCCCCTCTAATCCTCAGAATCAGTAGGCTTTACCAATATCAGTTTCAGCACTCATGACAGCCCCAACACTTGAAAGAAAGACAAGGTCAAACTCCTGGTGAACTCCAATAAAAACATTTTGCCTCCCAACTGCCAAACGAGGTCCATTGGTCCCAAACAAATTTTACTTTTTGGCTTCAATGTCCTTAATCCTTATCCTCTATAACCAGTTTTTGTCTATTTACTTATGCATTTCGACACTACCTCAATCGTCAGAAAGCATATATTTCGTAACGGCTATAACTTATATTCCTCAACAACAAACTGCAAAGTGGATATAATTACATAGAAACATGTTTCCCCACCACCATATATAATTAGTAAAAATTTATGACATCTTAGAACAACTCAGTTTCAGTGATCTTTCACCAGTCAAGGTTATTTTAGCACGCTGTCTTGCAAGACCTTTCCAGATTTACAGTACCTATCACTTATTTTAGTAACAGTGTTGTCTAGAGCCAGCTTGCGCATTTACACGACCTATCATTATCAGAGCTCTAAACACAATGACTTAATGCTCCAAGAAGATCAGTGAAGCAGAGAATTTCTTATGAAAAATCTATTTGAACAACTATCTCTTGGACCAATAGTCAGTTCTAGGCAACTCATTGTCGACGAATTGCAAAAGGTAACTTCTCACCATGTTTCTTTTAACTTCACATTCTTTTGCGTATCCATACTCAGCCATGCACGTGATTAGAACCAATAGAACTATAATCAAAAGATGCAACATTATGGTG